TAGGTAAAAAAATTTAGACCTTAAAATCTCCTTTTTAAGGGAAACTTTAAAGTCTCCCATAAAAATCTAAATTTAAGTTTAAGTTTTTTCCCCTCTTCATTTGCGCTCTCAGCCTCGCTGCTTCCTGCTTCCTCTGTTTTGACTCCAGCTGGTTACATCATCAAAAAAAATTGCGCGGTTGGCCGGTAGACTACAGATCTCTATCATAGGACAAATTTAAATCGTTTCTACCGTATATCGTTTATATCGCACATTCCTACATGAAGCTGGTGAATCATCGTCCTGAACCCTCCCAGCCTTTAAAATGTTTCACTTACTTTTTATTGAGTATACATATTTAAATCTGAATTTTCAATGCCGATAGAAAAAAATAGTTTTATTTAGAAAAAAATAATGTAAAAAGTGTTGAGGAATATCTTAATGCAGGGCTGTTCGACTGGTGGCCAGCGGACTGGGTGACTGATCATTGGTTCATTAATATYTGAAGCTCTAACTTACTATAAGTTCTTTAGAAATGTGTGGTGTCTAAAAACGTCAGAAACTGGGCTAATAGCTGGTAAAATAAATAAATAAAAATAAACATTTCTACGAACACCCACAACAACAAAAACTACAAGCAGTTTAAGATAAAACTAAGACTTAAAAATAAAACTGGTTTAAACATTTATCAAGTCAGAGATGTCAAAATATTTGTGTTAAATAGGAGACATAATGTGTTATTTTTAGTGTTGGGCACATTAACGCGTTATTATCTCTAGGGCTGCAGTTAACGATTATTTTAATAATCGATTAATCTGTCGATTATGTTTTCGATTCATCGGCCAAATCATTAAAAACGCTTAATTACAAGAATATGAGTAGATATAAATTAATTTCATTCCTGTATAAATTAGGGATGCAAGTTATTAATGAATTAATCTGAAGTTGATTTATCTTTTAGATTGACTAACAGTTGATTAATAAGCAGCCATTTTCTTAAAAACCAGAGTTTTCTCTTGAATCAAGAGGGTCTTCCCATAAAATGAAGGATTTTTTTATAATCTCCTGAATTAAAAAACAGAAGCACATCAAAACTATTTTAACAATTTATTTTGCCAGCTGTATTAAATACTGACTGAAAAAACGTATTTCTCCCACCTGAAACATAACAGACATTTAATAGAGGAAAATAGAATAAAATATGATTTTTAGATGTAAAACTATTATTAATTTATTATAAAT